CTTTATGTCCCGTTGACATCTGCAGCTCTCCGTCCCCACTGTAAACAGTGTGAGTGAGTCTACCTCCAAGTCCTTACCAAACTGCTCCAGCACACAAGGTTGCCTCAGAAACGATCACTGCTGCACAACGCTGGCCTTCTGGGCCTTGTCAGCTGCTTCTGGAGACCCACAGGGCTCCCAGCAGGGCCTCACTATACGTGTGAGCATACCAGGTCTACGCGGCGTGCGTCTGACTAGAAGGATTCTGTCCTCCTCCTCTGCTGTTTATCTCAGTAAGAATCTTTTCTTAGTGGTTTCTCGTGTTTCAACAGGTCTGTGAGTGGCGCTCCCCCGAACAGCTGAAGGAGCTGCTGGACCTGGAGCTGAAAGACGAAGGAGAGTCTGAATCCAAGATCCTGCAGCGCTGCAGAGAGGCCATCAGATACAGTGTCAAGACCAGTGAGTCATCTGGTGTTTCGAGCATCAAATCCCACGCCGGCTCTAGAAGCTGCTACATGAGCACACATTACCGTTTAAAGTCAGACAGCTGCAAGCAGAAGTGATCTCCTGGTGAAGGGCCTGGGGCCTCGGAGAGCCTCTCAGCTGCTTCTACCACACCAGATTAGCTGAGCGTTATCCATGTTTGTGCTTGGTAAGGTTGCTACTTCTGACAGAACAATGACAGGTCCTTCAACTGCCGTCTGTAGGTCATCCTCGGTTCTTCAACCAGCTGTTTGCAGGCCTGGAGCCTTATTCAACGGTGGCAAGCTTCATTATTGAGTCCATCAAAACCAGTCTGTGAGTTGTTTGGCAAACAGCGTTAAAATGGACTCTGGCTTCGTGACACTCACTACGGTTTCCATCAGATACACCTACGAGGTGGCTCCAGTCTTCACCCTCATGGAAAACGCTGTGCTGAGGAAGATGATTGAGACGATTGGTTGGGAAGAAGGAGGAGATGGGATCTTTAATCCAGGTAAATAAGCCTGCAGCTCATCAGGTCACCTCTTCTGTCCAACATAAAACGAATCAACAGCGTCTGGTCTTTTCCCGGCAGGTGGCTCCATGTCTAACATGTACGCCATGAACTTGGCCCGGTATCGGTACTGCCCAGACTGGAAAGAGGTTGGGCTCTACTCTGCTCCACGACTCGTCGTGTTCACATCTCAGGAGGTAGGTGTCCACCCTTCTCCAAGTTACTCAGTGAATGAGGGGCAGATCTACAGTATCATTTATGAAGATGGATCCATGGTCTAGCGGTGAGAGGTTTGGAGAACCTCATTTTGCTCTTTGACACAAAAATGAACCCATTCCACTACATCTGAAGCACCAGGACTAAAGCTGGTCCAGCTGAGATCAAAGCTCCACTGGGTGAGAGAGCATCTGCAGCTCAGCAAGGAGAAGACCTGGAGAATGGTCTGGTGTCAAGAAGGGCAGCAAAGAAGCAACTTCTCTACAGAAACCCGTGAGGGACAAATTGATGCTCTGCTAAAGGTCCAGAGATTGGACAGCTGAGGACCGGAGGAAAGTCATCTTCTGGATGGATCCTCTTTCTGACTGGAGTTTCTAGAACAAGGATCATCTGGAGAAGAACAGGTGATGCTTCCACCAGTCCTGTGTCCCCCATCAGCATAGCATCCTGAGACCACGTGTGTGTGTGTGTGTGTGTGTGTGTGTGTGTGTGTGTGTGTGTGTGTGTGTGTGTGTGTGTGTGTGTGTGTGTGTGTGTGTGTGTGTGTGTGTGTGTGTGTGTGTGTGTGTGTGTGTGTGTGTGTGTGTGCTTCTTAGCTAAGGGAGTGGTGGACTCACCTACAGTTTAGCCTCCAAACAGCCATGAATAAAGAATAGTACCTAAACATCCTCCAACCATGCAACAGCAGTTTGGTGATGAACACGGTCCTCTCCAGCATGATGGCGCTCTGTGAAGGAAAAGTCAGAACAAAGTGCTTCTTTGGATCAGGAACAAGTTGGGTCCCGGTCCAGGAACCCGGCCAGATCTTAATCCCACTGAGAACTCGTGGTCTGGTCCATCTTCCAGAGACAGGAGGACAAACAAACCCATTGATGCTGAAGATTGAGCGCCATCGGTCAGGGTCAACTACGGAGGTCCAGAAGGACAGAGATGTAGAGTCTTTAGATCAACTAATAGTCAGTAACCATGGAAACACCCGACTAAATGGTCTGAAACGCAGAAGCAGCACCTTTGTAGAAACAAACATCTGTTCAGGAACAGCTCTTGGACAACTTTAGCCGTGGATTTCCTGACATGGCCGCAGCATTTGATGATTTTGTTTCTGCTCCAGCTGTTTACAGATGTTGATGACGACGTGTGCACAACTAACACCTACCACAGAATCATCTGCTTCTGTGTTGTGAATCTACATGTTGAACATTCTTCATGTGGCCACGGCTTTTCACGCTGAAACTGGGATCTCTTTCAGAGCCACTACTCCATCTCCAAAGCTGCAGCTCTGATGGGATTGGGAACGAAGAACGTGTACATGGTGCCTTCAGATCAGAGGTAAACTTTCTAATCTCTTCTGATGATCCTCAGATGTTCTTCAGGTGCTCCTTAGACGCATCATTCATGTTCATTTCCTGTGTGAGGACCGTGGTTTGTGTGTAGTTTCTGTTGTGTGGATGATTGTTTAATCTACGTACGTGTGAGGTCTGAAGTCCTGCCGTGTGAATCGGGCTTCAGCTCTCTCTGAGTGTGCTTATGGAGTGTGTGGAGCATCGTTTCTGTTACACACGGTGTTGTATAAAGACACGAAGAAAACGAGTTTCTGTTCATAGTTCTGCTAAAACGACTTTCTAATAGACAGCCCCTCATGGGTTGCCACCTTACCATGGAGGGGTGTGTCCCGACGATCCTAGGAGCTACATTGTCAGAGGCTTTATGGATCTGGTAGGGTCACCCATGGCAAACATGTCCTTGGTGAGGAACCAAAGTTCAGCCTAAAAGTCCCTTATGACGATAAATACCAATGGAAACAGTGATTCCTCACCTGGAAGCGGGTCACCGGGGCCCCTCTCTGGAGCCAGGCCTGGAGGTGAGGCACGATGGCAAGTGATGTCAGGCTTCCACCCAGCCTGGTCGGGCAGTCTGAAGAAGAGACGTGGGTCGCCCTTCCCATGGGATCACCGCTTGGTGGAGGGGCCAAAGGGGTCGGGTGCATTGCGTGTAGGGTGGTAGCCGAAGGCGGGGACCTTGGCGGTCTGACCCCGGCTACAGAAGCTAGCTCTCGGTACGTGGAATGTCACCTCCCTGGTGAGGAAGCAGCCTGAGGTGGTGTGTGAGGGTGAGAGGTTCCGGTTTGAAATCGTAGCCTCTCTCCACCTGCATGTGGGCGGAGGGGTCCCTACCGTTTGTGTGTGTGTGTGTGTGTGTGTGTGTGTGTGTGCAATGACCATTTGGAGATCAATAGAATCCGCTTTGTCACGAGCCCCTCAATGACTAACTATTAGCTCACCGTATCTGCTCATGGATCATCTTTAGTTGTGCTGTTTAAGACGGTTCGGTTTTTCCTCTTCCAGCAGACGCCACTTCCTCACCTGATCCTTCTCAGTGTTTCCCAGCCCTGGTCCTCAGAGACACTGTCCTACGACGTTTCCATGTCTCTGCTTCAGCACTCTGGTGTTTGAAAGGGCAACATGGACAACGTACAGGACAGCGGTCCCTGAGGACCAGGGTTGGGAAACACAGCTTTACCTGACAGATCAAACGTCAGCAGTGAGACCTCTGAGCTCCAGAGTGCCCACTTTCTACCAGAATACGCTTTCATTGAAGAAACAAACACATATTTATTGTTTGATCACATAAAATTACAAAAATTTACATTTCAGATGTTTCACTTAGTCATCATCCTCGTCTTCATCGTCCTCCTCTGACTCCACCGTGCCCTCCGAGGCCTCCTGCTGTCCTTCTAAACTTAATGCCTGCTCTTCTTCCACTTGTGGGTCCAGCTCCTCTGTCACCTCAGATCCTATAGGATATTCTTCTTGTGGTGGTGGGGGGAGAGGTGGACTGTACTCTTCTCCTACACACTTCAGACCTCTTCCGATATAAATGTTCACAAACTCCCTAAGTTCAGAGAAAACATGTTGGTTTTAATCCAGGATGTAACGTCAAGCTGGGAGAAATCACTCTTATTTTGTTTGCATTTACTTTGCATGAGCACAAGCATAAGCTCCTGGCCAGAGGACAGAACGGAGCACTGCCAGTGCATGCTGGGGGGTGAGAGTGGAGGACAGCCAGGAGCTCCAGGGAGGACAATCGAACATTTCTGTGAACACAGAAGTTAATTTAGTTCAATCATTTGTCCATTATCTGAATCGCTTCATCCTCCCTTAAGTCCCACCCGGTGTCTGTCTCCACCAATCACCAGGTGAGGGGAGACAGTGATGACAGGTGCTCTAAGCATACCATTTATTTATAAAGCACCATTTAAAAATAGCATGGCAGCTAACCAAAGTGCCGTACATAAAAAAGCCAAACGCTCACACATATCAGCAAAAACACAGTGAAAACATGGAGATCAGGTAAAATACATAAAAACGTAGCATAAATAATCAAGGATAAAAATGCCTACTATAAACTAACAGAATAAGAGAACAGATGAAAGGTAACAGCGCTATCCAAAGTAAAAAATAATGCAGCGAGTGATAACGGCACAAATAAAACCAAAAAAGTGAGCTACTGAATCATAAAAACTAAGTTAGGAAAAATAAAACCGGTGCTGGAGTTTCGTATGAAGTGTCACGGAGAGAAGGCAATGCTGAAGAAGCGTGTTTAAGGGCAGACTTCAACCTGCTGACAGAGGGAGCCAAACACACGTGGAGCCAGGCCTGGAGGTGGAGTACGATGCAAAGTGCCTGGTGGTCCCTTCACAGGGAAACAGTCAGGCCAGGCGACAAGCTTGTTGGGACAGGATGCGTGAGGACAACATGCTAACTTCATGCTAGCAACATGCTCACTCCATGCTAACATGGGGACAACACGCTAACTCCACGCTAGCATGAGGACAACACGTTAACTCCATGCTAGCATGAGGACAACATGCTAACTCCATGCTAGCATGGGGACAACATGCTAACTCCATGCTAGCATGAGGACAACACGCTAACGCCATGTTAGCATGGGGACAACACGCTAACTCCAAGCTAGCATGAGGACAACACGCTAACTCCATGCTAGCATGAGGACAACAAGCTATCTCCATGTTGGCATGAGGACAACATGCTAACTCCATGCTAGCACAGGGACAACATGGTAACTCCATGCTAGCACAGGAACAATATGCTAACTCCATGCTAGCATGAGGACAACATGCTAACTCCATGCTAGCATGAGGACAACATGCTAACTCCATGCTAGCACAGGGACAACATGCTAACTCCATGCTAGCACAGGGACAACATGCTAACTCCATGCTAGCATGAGGACAACATGCTAACTCCATGCTAGCATGAGGATAACATGCTAACTCCATGCTAGCACAGGGACAACATGCTAACTCTATGCAAGCATGAGGACAACATGCTAACTCCATGCTAGCATGGGAACAACATGCTAACTCCATGCTAGCATGGGGACAACATGCTAACTCCATGCTAGCATGAGGACAACATGCTAACTCCATGCTAGCACAGGGACAACATGCTAACTCTATGCAAGAATGAGGACAACATGCTAACTCCATGCTAGCATGAGGGCAACATGCTAACTCCATGCTAGCATGAGGACAACATGTTAACTCCATGCTAGCATGAGGACAACATGCTAACTCCATGCTAGCATGAGGACAACATGTTAACTCCATGCTAGCATGGGAACAACATGCTAACTCCATGCTAGCATGGGGACAACATGCTAACTCCATGCTAGCATGAGGACAACATGCTAACTCCATGCTAGCACAGGGACAACATGCTAACTCTACGCAAGAATGAGGACAACATGCTAACTCCATGCTAGCATGAGGGCAACATGCTAACTCCATGCTAGCATGAGGACGACATGCTAACTCCATGCTAGCACAGGGACAACATGCTAACTCCATGCTAGCATGAGGACAACATGCTAACTCCATGCTAGCACCGGGACAACATGCTAACTCCATGCTAGCACAGGGACAACATGCTAACTCCATGCTAGCACAGGGACAACATGCTAACTCCATGCAGGAAATCAGATGTTTTTACACAGAGCAGTGTGGACATGCTGGATAGAATATGGTGATGATGGCATTCAAAGCTCTGTTCAGTTGTTCTGACGGTAAAAAGCTTCTGACCTGCATCATGGGAGACAGCAGTGAGTATGGGGGGTCCAACCTCTGGCTCAGGCTCATTAGCCTCTTCGTCTTCCTCTTCTGTGTCTAGATTGGCAGCCAGGTTCACCCAAGTACAACGACCCTGAAATCAAATTTCACACGATGATTTTTCAGAAGATCTGAGAAAATGTCTCAGATCATCATCATACCTGTGGCAGGATGTGGTAAGCGTGATGCACCCAGTTGGCCATGTCTTTAACCATCTCACTAGCTGAAATGACCTCAAAGTCAGCATTGATTTCGTAGTTGTTCAAGAGGGCCTCATTTTCTTCATCACTTTCTTTCTCGATGAGCTGATAGAAGTCAAAGGGGCTAATCTGCGTTCCAGCAGAGATGCGAGCGATCTGAGCTCTCAAATAGTTGGCCTCATTTCCAGGGAAAGGTGGGTAGCTGAGGACCACGCTGTCCAGCCTCCCCGTGAAGAATCGATTGATCTGACGAGCAACAGCGATCTGTGCAGGACTAACTGAGGGGAGTCTCACCCAGGCTTGGCCAGGCTTGTTGCAAACGTAATAAACAAACTTGTTAGCACCCGTTCCTGCTGCCTCCTTTGGCGCTACAGGGGGGCGGGTATACACCGAGCGAGGAAGCGGATCCTTCTGAAACATAAAAAAAAGACCAGAAAGATGGTTCAGAGCAGTGATTCCTAACCAGGGGTCTGCGTACCCCTAGTGGTCTGTGAGTGTATTACCAGGGGTTACCCTGATTATTACCCAGATGATGACAGCATTCACTGTGCCCAGGTAAAAAAGGCTGGGATGTGTTATGCTTAATGAAAAGTCTAATATAGTAAAGCATGGTAATATATGGCTGATATCATATCATATATTTAGTTCAAACGCGACTTTGGACTAGAGGCTGCTGCTGCAGCGCGGATTACAGAGCGCTTATAAAGAAGACGGGGAACGCCGGTCATACGGACCTAGTTTGGTTTTCAGGAGTCTGTTGTTGACCAGAGAAACATCCTCAGTAAATTATTCTATAGTGATTATTAAAAAATTAAAAAAATTATTATGAGCTACATGGCTGCACTGCACTGGACTGTAGCCGAGTGTTGGCCACGCCTCCAGCTGGCTCAGCCACTCACAAGCCAATACGAAACGATGCGGCTCAGAGACGCTCGCCTCCTTAAAAACGCATCCTCCATTTCTTCTGGTTAACGAGGTGAAGAAGTTCTACAGCCTGCTAG